GAGTGTATTCAAATTTTCCAAATCCTAGCGTAAGTTAAACGTGAAGCATTTGATAAAGATAGTCGTATCAAATAAGACTTGATAAAATTCCTTTGCTGTTAAATTTGCAATTCAATTTAAGTGATTTTTTTACACTATTTATTTATTTAAAAAAAATATTTAATTTCTTTAGAGGTATTTTTTATTTGTATTAAAAACTTTAATATATTTTAGTTGTTCATTTGTTTAGTAATTTTTTTGTTGTCACGAGTTTAAAAGAAATTAAAGAATGTCTAATAAAAAAACTACAAAAAAACCAAAGGTTCGCTCATTTAAAAAAGACATAATAATTAATATCATTTTTATATTAATTATGTTAGTATATAATTAAATTCGGTGGTAAAACATTTTTTTTATTTATTTTTCTTGTGCAATTATGATCAAAATAATAATTATTATTTGATTATGCTTAAAGTATTGTAAAACGCAGTATTTACGAACGAAGTAATTACGTGTATAATTAAAAAAATTATTCCTCGAAAATGATTAAAGAATGAGTCAAGAGGAGATATAAAAATTGCTTAAAATATACGCTGGTATTTGCACAATAAAGATTAATCTATTCTCGTTTACAAGTTTATGGTCAGCTGCATAAATATGTATATTGTGTATATTTACAACAATTTAGAAATCTGAAGAATTTCGGTTACAAAAATACGTAACTGTTCATGTCGGAAGCACACTAATATTAGAAATGCGAAATTTTAAATGAATGGATGTTTGGTAGAGTTTGTAGCCTAAACGTCTCAACGGATTTCGATGAAATTTGGCACATATAGGCTACTCACTTTTGCTTTTATTTAATTCCACGGACGGTGTCGCAGGCGAAAGCTAGTGCACATTTTTGAACATAAAGTCACATACATATTAGTGAAGTATTGTAAGCTGTTGCCCGCGACTTCTGCGTGAAATTAAAAAAATAAAAAAAATTATACCTAATGGTATTCATTGATAACGTAGCTTTTTAATAGTGAAAAATTGTTTTTCAATCCCAGTCCCAGGCCCAGTAGTTTTTCAGTTATATCAATACATAGAAAAATACAAATCTTTCTTCTTTATAATATTAGTATGGATTTCTATAAATATTTATCCAGCTGACTGTAGTAAACTGTTGTAGAGTAGATAAATAGCACACCGTTGTAATACTGCATGTGGCGTACATTTTGTCCTTACCAGCGTAAGTGAAGTATTTTGTACGTTTGTTGTTTATATAAACTAGTAAATAATGAAATATATTTATGGATATGTATTGTTGATTAAATATATTTGCAATTTAATTGAGTTTCTTTAGCCTTATGTTTTATCGTATTTTTCACGTTGCTAAAGCAGTTATGATAGAATAAATTCGCAACGTCAAACATTTGTAAGAATTTTCAGAGGTGTAATTCGTTTTATGTTTACATTTAAATTTATCTACGTCTTACGTAATCGGCCTTGTCCATTCCGAGTACAGTCGAAATGTATATTCATAAATGGTAACAAATTTAAACTCGGTCACCAGATATCGCGGACCTTACTCAATATCGTTAATTTACAATTAATCCTTGACTATAACAAGAAGTATGCGTATTCAATCATTTATTTTACTAAGAAAACGCGCGAAACAGTACAGCTCGTGAAAACATTTTCCGATTTTATTTTCTGTTACATTACCTCATTGGCGGCCTTGCTCCGTTCGCGCCTTCACGGGCCAGTGTCGTACCGACCGTCGAAAGGAATAGACGTATCGTCGGTCAGCACGACTTCGAACTCGTAACAACTCGCCGAACGAATCATGAGGACCAATTGTAAAAGAAATATTTAATTTGAATAGTGTTTTTTTGTGCTGTGCTGTGACTTCAAAGTTAATTTTTGACAATGGCCATATTTTTGTGTGTATTTTTATGCGCGTGGGCCGTAGCCCAAGGGTTTAATGTGGACATCCCTTCGAATGTGGTGTACAGGGGTAACTACAAGTCCATGTTCGGATTCACTGTCCAGGCCCATGTGGATGGCAACAGAAAAACGTAAGTTATTTTTTTTTTGTCTCTATATTAGAATCTAAATTGCTATTCTTAGACAAGTCACAAATCTTTATTGCTATAACGTTGCGAGGTTTTATTATACTAAAGACGTTCTTTCTGCGATAGCAACTGAATAAATAAAAACGATAACTATCGCGGAATGTTTAATTAAGAAGAGCATTTGCACTGTACTGTTCCAACTTGATCTTAACAAATAAAATAAATATCGTTCAATTTTTAAGTATGAAAAAACTATGATAATCATGAAATTCTCTAACAGTCGTGTGTATAGGAAATAAACAGAATATGTAAAGAAACGTTTAGCATAGCGCAGATTCTGACATCATAGATTTATTATAATGTTATTGGCGTACGAGATAAGCAGTCGTTCTAGAAATCTCTGGGCTATTAAAACGCGAAGAACATCGCCTTTGAGACTATCTAATAACTAAGATCTTTGTTAATCCCTCGGCTGGAAATCAAATATGTCATCGTTGGCTAGAAGGAATAATCTTTATTATTTCATTAGCTTTCGCCCGCGACTCCGTGCGCGTAAGTTCAAAAAACAAAAGTTAGAAGCTTATGTGTTCTTCGAGACTATCCTCTATGTCTATGCCAAATTTCTTAGAGATTCATTCAGCCGTTTAGGCTACATACTAATAAATATCCATCCATCTAAACTTTCGCATTTACAATATTAGTTAAGATGTAAGAATAAGTTATTAAGCTTTTTTTAAGATTTAGTTTCCAGTAACCTCGATAAAATTTAGCATAGATGTTCTGGAAGAATACAGATTATTTAATTATTTATTTCTTAATTTCGCACGGACGGTGTCGCGGGTGACAGCTAGTATATAAATGTTATTACATTATAAGATTAAATAAACATAATGGTTATATTATGTTCGTTATCTTGTGGGTTAAGGTTACCTTCCCCGAATGTGCATATACTTGGATAAGTACAATCGCTGACAGAATAATTATCTCGAATAATTAATATTATTTACTCGTATTTTTTTCTTGAAAGGAAAATTGTAGTTATGTAATTTTCTCCTCGGGTAAATTTATTTATTTCTATAGCGTTTTAAGCAAAAACAAAATAATTCAAATTCTATCACACTCCTAGGTTCTGTTGTACTTAATAAAGTTGGTAAGTCCCTTGCTGACTTTCAAAAGAGTAAAATAGGTTCGCTCATTATTCACTTACTTTATTATTATTTTGTAGAAAGAGATTCTATGCGACTGTACTTACGCATATGGAGAATGTAATTTAATACCAACAAAGATTGCGAGAACTATACGTTTAAAAATACTGATCAAATTGGAGATAAAATATTAAGAAAACAACATCTCTGACCACATCGATTAAACATTGTTATGATTAATTTTGTAGTGACTTATTGTTTGAGGACAAGTTTCCGCGGTGAGCAAACGAACAAACATTACACGAAGTCATAACGTTCGTAAGAATCAATCGATGATGTCATCACGCCTACACGATATTTACAACGTCTTTTTAAAATGGATAAATGGTTTCATTTAAAACTAGCTTTCGCCCGCGATTCGGTCCGCGTGGTATTAAAAAAATAAAAGTATGTAGGCTATGTGTTCTTCCAGACTATTCTCTACATCTGTACCAAATTTCATCGAAATCCGTTCAGCCGTTTAAGCTACAAACTCTAACAAACATCCATCTAAACTTTGGCATTTATAATATTAGTAAGATATATTATATTCTGTTTTATCAAGAATGTAACAGAAATTTGAAAGTATAGACAAATAAGTGAACATTTAAACCACATAATGTTTAATAAGAAAAAGTACAGTTACGAAGGAAAAGATTGGTATATTAGACTTGCCGGCACTTTACCCATCACCATTTCAGTTGCGATGTTCAGTTAGCTCATATTGTAAAGGTTGTCGAGTTGTAACAAGCTATCGTGGCTTTATCTCAGCAATGACATCATCGTCTTTGAGCGACTTTCAACGCTCCGCTGATTCTTGTATCGCTGCCAAAATTTAACATCACCATTATGTTTACGTTACGTTACTGTGTTTTATATATTTATTTTTTGATTATTAAACCTCTCAGACTATAACATACTATGAAGTATTTATGTTTACTTTCTATACGATTTTTAGATGTTATTATTCTGACATGTGAATGAAATCAAGGGAATCGAGGTCTGATAACCGTGACCAATTAACATTCGTTAATTCTAGATGGTTCGTTTACTTTTGCTCTCTCCGTGCCGGTCAGCGTCAGCGGCCGCCTTTGTTCTTGCTATCGTTTTAATCAAATTAACCAATTCAATGTTACGACAACGTGCAAGCCGCCATTAACGCGTCAATGCTTGCCTTGTGCGGCCATCGGGGGCGTTGGTAACTGAATGTTTAATGTTCTTCAGATTGTGAAATACTGCACTCGTCAATCCCACTGTTGTACAGTTTTCAATTACTTTCTATGTTAGTCAACATTTAAGTGTACATTACTTAATATTACGACTGGACATATAGACCCCTCTAGGCTTAAGTTATTTTGAAAAAGATCTTAGGGGTCTGCTCCAGACTGCCCGATAGAAGATAGCCAAAAAATGACGTCACAGACAAGGGAACATAATCCGATATTTCCGTCACATATTTTACACGTTAGATTGTACGGCAATTTACAATTTGGTGGGACAGGCTCTAAGACTGGCAATTTTCAAAAAAATCTATGTTTTGGATTAAAAAATTTCGTATTATTTAGGTATCACCATATGTTTGAACTTAAACTAGACTTGCAATGACCGTGCGTGTTTTACGATCTTTGTTACAAGGCACCCCGCCGCGCCGCACTGTTAGGGAGCGAAATTAGTAATTCTGAGGAACCGGAAGCACGGGTGGCGTCACATGTGCGGCACATGCGCCTGCGCATCGCCTTTTACAAACTTTTTATATTTGACTGCACACAGAAATAGCCCCATACCCAAAGTGCAAGACATCGTTGATTTATTACAAGTTTTGCTAATAAGTTAACTTATTGTCCCATTTGTTAATTATTTCCCTTTGTTGCTGTACATAATTGTATTCATCTGCATGTCTTGATGTGGCACGCTGGCCAAACGTTGGTTGACTTCACACATATCTTTGAATTTCTACATCGATATGTGCAAGTTGCGTCACGATGTTTTCCTTCACCGTAAGAATGTCGAGTAAATTATGTGCATATGAAATATCGAAAATCACATTGGTACATGGTGGGATTCGACCCTAAGACCTGTAGATTACAAGTCAACGGCTTGAACCACTGAGCCACCGACGCTCTTATAAAAATCATCAAGTAATCGACTTGCCCTTCTGTCAATATGACTGCACCTTGCGCACAAATATTTGTTATCAAAGTACATATGTCCGACAGAGTGCACTGAACAAGTTGGGTCTTTACCCCGCTAATGACTGAGATAAGTAATGACTGAGGACATTTACGGCAGTGCTGCGCGATCGATTTTTTATCGCTGTCTGTGGAACACAGGCCCGTCTATGCGTGATTTACGAGCTCTTACCAACGTCGAAGTTTGCTTTCGTTTGACTGAACGACGATTTGATCCGCGTTACTTATTTACAAAAAAAAAATAATTTTGTTATTCTTACAAATTAAAAACCAGAAATGTTTTGTTATATTGTATGCTTGAAAAAAAGTCTATTTTCCTAGCTTCATAAGGCTACAATTGTTCTTATATGTAATGAAATAACTCAAAAACTACTAGGCCGATTTAAAAATTCTTGCACCATTGAAAAGCTATAATATCACTGAGTAAAACAGGCTATGTTTTTAAATTACACGCGGTCGAAGTCGCGAGCATTAGCTAGTATTTAGCAGGATAATGATTTAAACATTATTAAGCTAAATATGTTTAACATTTAGCGACACGAGCTGAGAATATTTTGTTATAATTTGTACTTCTCGAGTAATTCTTGCAATGCAAGAAAAGCTAAACGCGGATCGAAAGCGTGCTTGTGTTGCGCGATAACGAAGTTATTTTTGTACACAACAACAAAATAGATAAATTAATACGATAGTTAATTTGAGTGGAACATCCGTGATGCTTTGCTTTTTTTTAATTTTTATTTTCAACTTCTACGGACTCTTGGTCCGTACTGTTTTTTGCACAGGTTGTTTTATTTATTTTTTGTTGCATAATCCGTATATCACTAATGAGTTCCCTTTTTTTTATATATAATTATGAAGCTTTGCTTTTGGACCCTTGAGATAAAAAATACAGAAATTAACTAAGACTATAGGCTCTACATTTAGGTATAGATTGAATCACACAAATATACACGGAAATTTGTCGAAATTTAAAATTCGCAAGTCGATTTCTAGCTGATAAAAAAATCTATTTAGGACAAACTTTCGCAACACATTATTCTATTTTTAACAACTTTCTCATACACTGAGCGCTCGATTATGCTATATTTAGTATTTATTAAGTATTCTTAACACACAAAACACAAGCTAGGACGTGGAGGCAGACAATAGATTACTACGCAGTTCCTACTTGCAAGGAATTATAGAGGTGACTGACCATGTGTGTGTGTGATAACTTCAAAGAAATGCCGGTATAAATGAGAACGCGTTTATAATAACAGTTGGCGCGTTATATCTTGAGTTATCTCAATTTGGAGAATATATTGTTAGTGTTAAATGTTACACGGAGACTATGACGTCATTGAGGCATTACAGCCAAGATTGTAGAAAACACATTATAAAATATAAACTTTTAAATACCTTTTGCTCATAACAAAAGAAATGAATAAAAATCACAATTAAAATTGACGTAAGTACTGTCCTAACATTAGCCTCAAGTATAAATCATTATTTTGTATTGACTAGTTTTGCGATATATATTTACATTAAGAATACAAACGACAAATCATGCAAAATGCAAGCATTTTACAACTCTCCAATTGTAAAAATGATCAGCGAACATTCCTTGCGTCTGCTACCAATATGGCGGCTG